CTGAGCCTCCGAGCTGCCATTAGGAGGGCTACAACGAGCTTCTCCATCTTAGGGTACCTTTCCTCAGCTCCCAGAGGGCTTTGCTATAGAAGTAAACCGGTACCGGGGTGGAGGCCAAATAAGTCTTGAGGGCATGGAAGACCTCTTCACATTTTTCATCCCACCGAAAGGCTGCTTTTAAAACCTTGAAGAAAGGTTGGCACTTATCACTGGAGCATGATACAAATCGGTTGAGTGCCGCTATCCTCCCGGTTAGGCGCTGTATTTCTCGTGTGTTGGTGGGTGCTTTTATTTCGAGGACGGTCTTTACCTTATCCGGGTTCGCCTCGATGCCTCGGTTGTTGACTATGAAATCCAAGAACTTTCCCGCCGATACCCCAAATGCACACTTTACTGGATTCAACTTCATCCTATACTGTCGCATGATTCTGAATGCCTCCTCGAGGTGTTGGACATGCGTCTATGCTTTAAGTGACTTCATGAGCATGTCGTCAATATATATCTCCATTGTCGAGCCAAGTTTTTCTTGGAACATCCTGTTGACCAACCTTTGATAGGTGGCTCTGGCGTTCTTTAGTCTAAAAGGCATAACTTGATAGCAAAAGGTCCCTTGCTCGGTAATGAATGAGGTTTTCTCTTGGTCGTTAGGGTCCATTCTGATCTGGTTATATCCCAAGAAAGCGTCCATAAAGCTGAGAAGCTCATGGCCAGCCGTGGCATTGACTATTAAGTCGATTCGGGGCAGCGGGAAGTTGTCCTTAGGGCATGCTCAATTTAGATCGGTAAAGTTGACGTAGAGCTGCCATTTACCATTTACCTTCTTTACAAGCACAACGTTGGTCAGCCAGGTCAGGGTAGTCGACCTCCCTGATGGACTTAGCTTGCAGCAGCTTTGCCACCTCCTCGTTGATGGCCTTTTGTCGTTCTGGCGTGAAGCTTATTCTCTTCTGTCTCACGGGCTTGTAGTGAGTCGACGCTAAGGCGCTGTACGATCACTGTGGGATCTATTCCTTCCATGTCTTCCTGCTTCCATGCGAACGAGTCTACATTATCTTTTAGAAGTGAAATAATCTTCTCTCTAATCACAGGGAGCAGCATGGAGCCCACGAAGACTACGTGTTCTAGATCCTCATCTAGTTGCACGGGCTTCAGCTGCTCAATGGGAATGGGTCTGGTTTCCAGCTCGTTCCTCATATCTAAGTCTTCCAGTTGGACCGATTCCACATCCCTTTGCTTCATCGATGCCACATAACATTCCCTGGCGAGGCGTTGGTCGCTTTGGACCATGCCGACCCCGTTCTCAATGGGAAATTTCATCACTAGGTGGTACACCGAAGGTAATGTCTTGATTGAGTTGAGAGATAACCTACCCAATAGGATGTTGTAGGCGGAAGACGCGTCGACGACAAGGAAGCGTGTAGTGGTCGTAACCTGGCAAGGTTGGTCTCCTACTGTCAGGACGAGCTGTATAGCTCCGGTTGACAGAACCTTTTCTCCCGAGAAACCCAAGAGGTGGGTTCTCACGGGTTCGAGCCTGGATCTTTTGATGCCAAGCTGATCGAAGGCTGTCAAGAAGATGATATCTGTCGAGCTTCCGTTGTCCACGAGTACTCGGTGTACGATTTTGTATACAACGATCGCCTTTATGACCAGGGGGTTGTCATGCGAGTGTTGGTATCCTTCGAGATCTGCATCAAAAAAAGTGATCTCCACGTCTCGACAGGGTACCTTAGTGACGACTTGGATCTCAAGGAAATCTTGCGATCGGGCTCTCCTGGCATACGTTTTTCGCGCTGAGCTGGATTTTTTGCCTCTTGCGAAGCCTCCCGAGATGACTCAGATTTTGCCAAGAGCTTGTTGATGCTGCTGAGGTGCCGCCACGGCGACCCAGGCTTCTCGTCCTTGATCGTTCTAGGCTCTTCCTTCCCTTGCCACATACTGGCACATGTGGCCTCTATGTATTAAGTACTCTATCTCCTTCTTGATTTGGATATAGTCATTGATTTCATGGCCTTTGTCCTTGTGGAACTCACAGTACTTAGCGGGGTCTTGCCTGCTGGGGTCGGATTTTATTCGCGGTGGCCACTGAATGAACCTTTTGTTCTGGACTTCGTGAAGAACCTGAACGATGGAAGTTTCAAGGGGTGGCAGTCATGGTGGGGCAAACCGCGGCTGTAGGTCCTGTGGGGGCAGACCTAGGCGGTCTCGAACGTTACCTTTCCTCTTCGGAGAAGGCTCTCTTCTTCTCCTAGGCGAGCGATCTTGTTTCGGGGATCGATCATGTTTCCCCTCTTTCCTAGGACTACAACCTCTTCTCTTCTTGCTTTCTTCAATCGGCGTTGGGCCTCCTTTCAAACGGAGGGCTTCCTCCCCGTTGATGTACTTCTCGCCTTTCGCCAGTTCCTCAGCCATGGTGGTTTGAGGATTCTTCGCTACCGAATAGAGAAAGTCCTTGGATTGTAGCCCGAGCCCAGACATGAAAGTGATCAGTGCAAACTTATCATCCATAATTTTCACATTTAGGCATTCCTGGTTGAAACGTTGTACATAGCTTCGGAGAGACTCGTTAGGCCTTTACTTGACGCTCAGAAGATGGTAGGAAGGCTTTCTGTATGTACTTGCTCCGATGAAATATGATAAGAACTAGATGGATAATTCCCTGAAGGAGGAAATTGATACAAGTTGCAGACGGTTGAACCAGGCTATTGCCGACCCTTTGAGGGTGATGGCGAATGCCCAACAGTGTATCGAATCAGGATAACCTTGAAGCTCCATCTGGTTTTTGTAAGAGTTCAAGTAGTCGACTGGGTCTTTGGTTCCGTCGAATGCCTCTATCAACGACGTTCGAAACTTTTGGGGAAGGGGGAAGTGGAGGACCTCCAGAGTGAATGGCGATTCAGTCTGTTGGACCAGGGTATCCATGGTGTCAAGAGTCCTTCCTTTAACCACTTCTTTCATATTACCCAGCTCTCGTTGGAGCTCACGGAGTTTTTGCTCCAAATGATGGTCCATGGCATTTGGCGAGTAATAGGGCCTGTCTTCTAGATAAGTGGGTCTGACCCTGCTGTGGGCCTTATCTTCATCGCGTTCACCAGGGTACCTCCTTCGATGATTTTCTTCAGAGTGGCTACACTCGTGGAGCTCGATGACTTCGTTAGGTGGGGCTTGGCGCTCCTGAGGAGGGGCGTCCTGATTGGCCTAGGGTGGAGGAGGTTCTTGACGTGCTAGCGGGATCTGAGGAAACTGATTTGTCTGTATCCACTCTATTAGTTCCTGATTCTACCTCATTAGTTGAACTATTGTTCGGAGATAAGCCTCTAGTTCGTTGGGAAGAGGGAGGTTTGCCTCTGGAGGGCGACCCTCGACGTCTCCTTCTGGGATCAGAAAGTTCTCTGGTGGATTATGACGGACTTGGGGATTGGCTAGAGCTTTACTCATGTTCTGAGTAGAAACCATCAAATAAACAAAAGATTAGAAAGAAAACGATGAAAAACTGTTCCCACAGACGACGCCAACTGATGATGTCTCGAAAATTATGGCCCAAGTCCAGTTGTAGATAGGGAATTGAAGAGTTTTATTTAGGTGGTGAGAACTGAGAGATAACCTAATCAGTAGAGAGAGGCACAGGTGTTAAGTGGTTCACCCCAGCTGGTAGCTATGAACAGATACCAGTAAACTAGAAATTTATAGTGGGTCATCAATTTAGAAGCTTGACCAGTTCATTTTAATAGAATCTCTTACTCCTAGGGAGTTTTTTATTACTTGGGAGTAGAAGGTTACAGAATTACACAGAGTTAATGACATAGATACTTGATTGATTACAATGCGAGGGATTTAATTCCTATTTATAGTATACATTTACCTTTTGTGATCTCTGTGATCCTTGCATAATTAACATAATTCCCTTGAGACTGTTACGACCCATATGCCAGAATATTTGGTTGTTATGGATTATATTCTCTAGACGTGACATATTTTTTTAGAGGTGCGAATTGTGGCTATCATCGTGTACACGAGAGTTACGTCAATGATGCTTTTCGACCTATGCCTCTCGAGTTAAAGATTATGAATTGAAAGATTCGAACAAAGATGTCCGAACTTAGCGTTGACTAATTTTTAGTATCATACATACCCACAATTTTTTTTTGTGTGGATACCATAGTCTTACCCCTTTCAATGGAGTTTGATATAGTCTTTCCAAAAATTTAATATAAGAAATGTCACTTTTATTTATAGTATCTCATTATTGGATCATCATGTTACATATGTATCATTTTGGGATATGTAAGGCATTATCATTTTGGGATAGTATCTCATTATCATGTTACGTTAAGGAGGAATGTTAAGTCTTCAAGTTTTATTTTTATGAGATTTGACTAAAAATTCTTTTTTTTTTGAGGTAAATGCAATTGACAATAAAATTTATCAAAAAAAAAAAACGATTATAGGAGCATACCAAACAACGTGATACAATTTACCTTCGATATGGGCCCCTATATCCAAATTGTCGATCCTATGATCTTATCTCTCCACGATTCTATGCGATTCGTCGTATATAAAATTTTTTATTAATTTTGTGAATGATTTATTATTTTTATGAGTATTTTATCACTATCGTTATAATTATTTTTATGTTTGTAAGTGTTTTTTCTATTGTTAAAATAACTTCTTTTTTTGGCAGACAACTGCCTATCGTCTCTGCTGTCATGCTTTATGTTTTATCTTATTTTTTAATTAGTCTATCATTAGCCTTTTAAATTTTAAATGAATTAAGAAAAATTCTACGAACACCACCATTATGTACCACCTCTGCTACACCACCTGATGTATCATAATTAGAGTTATTAAATATTTAATAATTATGTGGACCTATTAATTTAATGCTCTATCTTGAAATGGTGAAGGAAAATATAAGCTATGATCTAGTGTTGTCAAGCCCATTTTTGTAAAAGAGACCCTAAGAGTTACACATCGGCAACTAATCTGGAGAGAGAGAGAGAGAGAGAGACCTACAGAGAGAAAGCAAGATGAGGAATCCATCGTCAGCATCGCCGGCGACCATGTCAAATAGCAAGAGTACAGCTACACCATGTTGCAGCAAAGTGGGACTGAAGAAGGGGCCATGGACACCTGAAGAAGATGAACTTTTGGCCAATTATGTGAAGAGGGAAGGCGAAGGACGGTGGCGGACGCTGCCCAAACGCGCCGGTCTCCTCCGGTGTGGTAAGAGTTGCAGGCTCCGATGGATGAATTATCTCCGGCCGTCTGTTAAGAGGGGTCGGATTGCTCCTGATGAAGAAGATCTCATCCTTCGTCTTCATCGATTGCTCGGTAACAGGTACTGTTTCAATCTTTCTACTGTTTCATCTCAGTTTCCAATAACACGAATTATATAACGTCTATTCTTATCACTTTAGGGTTTCATTGTATAAGTCTCTCTCTTTCTCTGGGTGAGCATCAAAATTTTGTATCGGTTGTATAGTTTCTACCAACTCGGAAAAGTTTTGGAAATACTTTGAAAACATGGTAGAAATAAAGTAGAAATTTAGAAATTAATTTCGAAGGACTTCAAAATATTGATCAAAAACGTACCGAGATATGTTAACATAGTTCAAAACACCTCGTGCATGATAATTTCGATATTCAATCACTAATATGTAATCTTTTGATGGTGTAAATGTAATTGAAACCAGTTCGTCCATTTGAGCTGCTGAATCTGAAAGTTCTCTGGTATTTATTTGGGGTTTGATCATCTCAGGTGGGCTTTGATAGCTGGAAGAATCCCAGGACGTACAGATAACGAGATCAAGAACTATTGGAATTCCCATCTCAGCAAAAAGCTCATCAACCAAGGAATTGATCCTAGGACTCACAAGCCACTGGACCCAAACTCTTGCCCTAATTCTTCTGAAACAGTTTGTACTACAGTATCAAATCCAAACTCAAGCCTCAAATCTTACCCTTCTCCTAACCCCAAACCTAGCCCTAATTTTTCTGGGTCACAGCAAGTCTGTGGCAACAATCTGGATCAGGATTTAAACCCCGATGTCGATAATAGCCACGAGAACTTGAAGAATTCTGATGTTTTGATGACAAATTTAGAAAGTGGCCATGAAAACAGTAGCAATGAAGAAGATGGTATGGAGTTCTGCAATGGTGAAACTTTCTCTTCATTTTTGAATTCTTTGATAAATGAAGACGAGTTTACCGATCTCCAACAGCCTAACGTGATTGCACCTTCGATATCGTCTCAGCATGTAACACCTTCTTCGCAGACCTTCGATCTTGGCCCTGTTTGGGAAGTTGCACTCTGATCAACCGTGGCCGCTTTAGATAATGCACAAGAAGGGTTAGCTAATTGAAAGATTACATGAGCAGGTAAATGGGTTAGATTGCTTCTTCATGTGTGATAATCTGTATGTTTTATACTGTCTATTTACTATCTCGTGAACGGGACTATGTTGTGGCCTAGGGAGTTCATGCCCCAAGTGTTTTCCGAAAACCCTAATGGTTCAGTCATTGTTTGAACAGTCACTTCTCTCTTTTTTTCGTTGGAGTGTACTCCAAATTTTAGACCATGGTACTAGCTAGTTTTGTACCTATTTGTTTTCATAGCTAGTGTAAGGAAACTTTGGTTTGAATGTGTGTATCTATGTATTTTCTTGCGGATGTACCTCTACTATTTGGTTTGATTTTTCAATTTTCGTAATTGATCTCAAGTTGCAAATGAATGTTGATTTGATTTTTTAATCTCTCACATTGATAATTTTTTTTTTTAAATATATAAAAATTTAATTTAATTTTTTTATATCCCTCTCACTCTTCCTCTATTTTCTCTCACCATTCTCTCCTTAGATCAATGTTACAATAACACAATTACATCAATCAGTTACACTAATTAGTTATAATTATCCTATTATATATCAAATAGCTACTAAGTGTTCTAATAAATCAAACAATTACACTAAACAATTATACGAAATTACAACACTAACACAATTTGTCTTTCAGTTGTTTACAAAAATCAAAGAGTTATATCATTTAATATCATGATATGGTTACACCAATTATATACACGAAATTGGATTTATCATTACACAAAAGATTTTACCATTATACCAAATTAGATATATATAATTGGTATAACCATGTCGTGATACTAAATAGTACAATTTTTTAGTTTATATAAATAACTGAATGACAAATTGAATTAGTATCATAAGTTTATGTAATTATTTGATGTAACTGTTTGATATATTATAGAACAATTATAATTGATTGATGTAATTAATTAACGTAATTATATTGTTGTAACGTTGATATAAAGAAAGAGAGAATGTGAAAATAAGGAGAGAGAGAGAGAGATTAAGAGTGAGCGAAAATAGGGGGAACAGAGTGAGAGAAAGAGAAAAAAAATAGGGGAGAGAGATTAAAAAATCAAATTAAATCTTTACATATTTGAAAAAATAAATAAATTATCAATGGGAGATAGAGAGAGAAAACAAGGGAAAGATAAGAAGAGTAATGGAGAGAGAGAGATGGAGAGAAAATAGGGAAGAGATAGTGAGAGACGAATGGTGAGAGAGGGAGATAGAAAGAGAGATAAAGAGGAAATAAGGGAGAGAGATGAGAGAATAAAAATTATACATAATTTAAAGAAGGGTAGATAAGTAAAAAAAAATTAAATTTTATTTCAATTTTGTACCTAATCAAAAGATGTTTTATTAAAATTATACTTAATAAAATAAAATACTTATTCACACACTTCCACTCAAATAAGTCTAAAAAAATATATTCATATCCAACACACTAATGTTAAAACGTGTTGTGACAAGGGCTTGCAGACTTGCAGTGCAGTTTTGGGCTTTGAGGGGCCCTGTCCAAATTTGGGATTAGGCCTTAAGTCTATCAAAGTCAAGCCCTCCTTCGCTTAGCCCGAAGTCATTCCTAAATTTACTGAAACGTTGGAATACTTTATCTACCCCCAACAAGAGTAAAATGATTATTTCATTAATAACAACTCTGATAAAAGGTTGTATATGCCGGTCTGAAAAGTTTGTGTTAAGCTTAAAGAGTAGCTCAAGAATTAATAAAGATGATCTGTAAATTTAAACGTTTTAAGTTTAAATTGTAGTAACTCTTTGAAATTAAATCATGAAGGATGTTCTTTATGAATATCCTAATTTCGACATAGATGTTTTGTCTTTAACTAAACTGCAGAGGAGATTAGTCGAGTTGTGCATAAGTCCCTGACCGTTTAACCAAAAAAAAGTTTGTGTTATTATTTTTGTCAAACTTAGGGTGGTGGAAACATAATTTACCTATGGTCCATTATTACTTAGTTATCTAATAGTCAACCCATGTGCTTTTCCAGCTCCAAAAGTCTTTTGCCTCGTGCCTCTTTATCATTGGTGCTGAAATTGGAACATGATATAAATGATTATCACTAAACGCCTATAGTCTAACATGAAATAGGGTAAATTTCATTTTTTTTTTTTGTACAAAAAATTTAAGGTTTGTTCATACCTATTGATCGATCAATGATGACTTGATCTTCCTGAAGCACAGTTGAATCGGGCCTCTTCTGATTTGATCATTTTCGACTCCAAGTATTCTTCTTCAACTCCATACTTTCGGAGAACAAGCAATCAAGCGATTGGATCTCCTCTCCCTCAATCCCCTCTCTCTCTCTCTCTCTGAACTAGAACAATTGAGTGGCTGAACTCATTCTAGTTGCTTTATTTTTATATATCTGGTTAATATATCTGATGATGCACAAAAATTGTTTTGCACACCACCTGTCAAGCGTAGGTAATAAATGCAATGAAATCAATGAAAAAATTAAGAAGACACAATCTATAGTGGTTCGGTCAATTCGACCTACGTCCACTCTTCAATGACTTCAGTTGCCAGGTATTTTATTGATTCAAAGGTATGGAGAATGGAGATACAAGCTTTGAGAGAGAGAGAATGGAGAATCAAAGAAAATAGTAATCTCCGGTAGTCGGTTCGTCTTCTGTAAGTCTTTGGTGGGGCGTGATGCCCTTCTCTACCAGATTGGAGCCATTTTATAGCAGCTAAGAGATCATTCTTGTGGAGATCATGACATATCCTCAAGGCTTAAGAGATCATTCCTGTGGAGATCATGACATATCCTCAAGGCTTCTTTATCGCAGCTCAGAGATTATCCTTGGTGGAGATCACGACTTATCCTCAACGGAAGGAGGAGGTTGGGGAGCTCTTCATGAAACGTGGTCAAAGATTAGACCGTTTTCTTCGGTGGTACAGATAAGCTTTCCGTGCTCTCCTCTTGGTGACGTGCTAAGCAAGAAGTCTAACCGGCCTTGGACTGTCTTGGACTTGGTGGATTTGGACCGTTTCCTTTGGTGGTGCAGATAAGCTTCCCGTGCTCTCTTCTTGAAGACATTCTAAGCAAGAAGTCTAGCCGGTCTTGGACTATCTTGGGCTTGGTGGAATCACAATGAGGTTGGGCTCCTCAACTGGGGTTGGACTTTAACACATAAATTGGACTATTTGGGCTTAACCCATCATTTGCTCCCCAATGCCCCATGTCCAAGGAGACTTGGAGAAGGAGACATTTGATTATATATATATTTTTTTTCAAGCCTATTCCACTTTATTTTAAAGAAGGCCCATAATATTTTGTTTGGCCTTTTTGTTTTGAAAATGGCTTATAACTTTCTTTTTGGCCACTTTATTTTAAAGAGGACCCATAATTTTCTATTTGCCTACTTTATTTTGAAGAGGGCCCATAATATTCTATTTGGGCTTTTTTCCTCTTTTTGAAAAATCCTAGACTATAAATATAGTCTTCTTCTTCATGTTACCATTTCACTTATTTTTAAGGTTGAACATCCACCTCTTGAAAATTTTGAGAACTCAAGTCCTACCCATTTTGTTGAAGCCAAAGTGTGTTCTCCTTGAATCCTTTCAAGAGTGTGATTTCTTCCTTGCTAGTTGAGCTTCTCAAGTGAACAATGTCGATTGAAGAGGGATTGGTGGAGGTTGAAGAAAGGGAGGAAGTAGGCACCATTTTGGAGAACTTGGAGGCTAGTTTTGAGCATTCGAATGCTGTCTTGGACAGCTTTGGGGCTGAAATTGAAAGGCTGGACAGCGAAGGGGAGATGGGCAGCGCGAGGAGTGGCTTGGGCAGCGCAGGCGCGCAGCTGGGCAGCGCGCGCGCGCGCTCGCTGGGGTCCTGGGCAGCTGCCTGGGCGCTGGCCTTGCTGTCCTGGACAGCCCAGGTGCGCTGGGCAGCAGCCTAGCTGCTGCTTCTGCTGTCCCGGACAGCTTCAGGTCTGCTGCGCTGGGTGGCTTTGGAACGCTGGGCAGCAGCATTTTTCCGTCAAGGGGCGCTGAAAATCAGTCCAAAGTTCGTCAGGGAGAGCTAGGCAGTGGCCTGGGAGCACGGGCTGATCCGATTCTCACTCGAGGCGCTGATTTGGGCGCCTTAGGTGCTGATTTTTGCGCCAAAAATTCTGCTTTGTGCAATATTGAAGGGCCAAGCACCCTTCAAGCTACTGGGTAACTTTGTTTTGATGAGCAACAGCAGTCAGGCACACTTTCAGGCGTTGGGCTAGACATTGCAAGTAGTAAGGAAGCTTTGGGTGCTGCCCTTGATGATCAAGCCCCTATTGTAGCTCCCCCGATTCAAGTTCCTCAAGACTCTCCCAATGGTGATTTGGACTACTCCTTAAGGCCCCGGAAGAAGAAACGCAATAGCAAAGTGGGACCTGATGATGACGGGTCTAAGGTGAGCACCCTTCATAGTTTGTTCTGCTCAGATGAAGATATTTCAAGGCTTGTTTTTACTTATCGCATCCCTCCGACCGTGTTGTGCCGTCGGGCTGAGTTGGGCGAGTTTGCTTGCGATGACTCTTCCGGGGATATTGTTGTCTACGAGGAGATGCTTGAGGCTGGGTTAAGATTTCCCATGTCCTCCCCCATTTGTCGTGTTTTGCATTACTTTTCCTTGACTCCGGGGCGACTAGCGCCCAACGGTTGGAGAGTCCTGCTCGGTTTTCTTGCATTATGGAGAAAGGTGCACCACGAGGATGCTTCCCCTATGGAGTTTCATGCAGCATATAATTTGAGCGAAACCCCTACACCAAATAGGGGATGGTACTATTTTACCGCGCGGAGTGGTACAGTGCTTACAGGAATGCGCTCTAATTGCGGCGGCTGGAAATCTTGTTTCTTCTTTATTGGTGGAGAATGGGCTTCAGAAGCCGACAGAGTTTCGGTGCCAACACATTGGGGTGCTGCTAAAAAGCCCGGTATGCTGCACACTTCT